GCAATTTCTAACGATGCAATCCTATTTTGTTTTTCTTTTTTTGTGAAATTGTTAAGGTTTTTTCAAGAACATTCGAATGAACTACTGCTAAGCCTAATTTTTGATACTCTTTTCCCCATTCAATGTTGATTATCATCCAAATGATTTCTCTATCTTAAATTATTACGTTTGATTAGAATTTTTGTTCAATTGTAAGAAGGGAAAAGAAACAGAAAAAAATAGATTTAGGCGTGTAACTTTCTTTTCTAGATTTCTAATAATTTCACTAACGAGATATACTCTTACTTTTTGTTTTATTAACAGAGAACGATACAGTAATAATTATAATGGAAAATAAAATAAAATCGATAACGCGTGATAACTTTCTCCATCGGTGTATCTAATTAATTTTCTAACTATTTGCTTATATATCCACTGTCGTATCTTATATTTTTATTATTAGAAGAATGAGAAAAGGGGAAAGTAAAAAAGAAACAAAAAGTAAATCAAATAATATCATTGCAATTTATCTCTCTCAGATTTCTAATCATTTTCTAACTGATCTCTTCAACCTGTTACATTTATTTCGTATTTTTTCTGCATCTTAAATACAATTTGTATCAATAGTTTTTCGAGCTATGATTAAATCTAAATTTAACGTGGATAGAATTTTCTGTTCTTTCGTACAGTCAGAAAATTTGAATTAGTAGTAGGTGTGTAAAAAGAAATAATAATCTAAGAGATTAGGATAATTGGATAAATTCTTGAAGATAATAGAAAAGAAAACGTGTGGTTAGTATATATCGTTGGTATCGGTCTAGTTCACGACAGTTCATTCGTTTCTTCGTTCGTTCCTATGAAAGGTCGCGAGTATTCATTCATAAATGGGGTTGCATACGCGACTATGTAGACTAGAAGAGATCAATTTTATTTTAATAAAACACGATAATGTTATTCATGTCATTTTTAATCTTTTGCAAATCATTTATCATCTCGAAATTAATTAAATATATTTATCCAATTTTTTGCATCGTTTTGTTTTCATATACATTGTATACAAAATATTGACTCTCTCTATTAAAAAAAAGTTAAAACAATTGAATATAAAAAAGAACACAAAAAGATAGACATTCAAGTGATTTCTTTAATTAAATCATCACTTTTGTGGCTGCAGTTGCAGGTTGCATCTGCAGCTGCAGTGCTGCTGCTGCTGCTGCTGTTCTGAACGAAACAGCCAAAGGAGAGAGTAAACCTTTAGAAGTACCGATCAATACTCACTATATATATATATATAATATATATATAATATATATATATGTATATACAAGTATATATATACACATATATACATACTAACAATAAGTGGAACGAGAGAGAGCACGTGCTCCGTTTTGTTTTTTTTTCAAACCCATATTTGCAACAACAAAAATAGAAGAATAAATCTAAATGGAAAAATGAAATGTTTCTATTGTGTGTGTGTTATTACGATTTATAAAATAAATTTAATATAAAAATATTCTAAAAAGAACATACAAAATTGCGAAAAAATATTTCGTTTCCTTTCTTTTTATTCGTATGTTTTTTTCGGTATAAGAATTAAGAAGGTTACTAGTTAGCGTTCTTTAACCTTTGCACTCTCTTCCGATCTTCGAATTGATTCCGAACTTAGCACAGTCGAACGTGACCTACACAAGTAACTATGGTAGCACGATCATCGAATTAAGTATTCTCCGAAAATACCTTTCGGTTTTAACGAGTTTAATGTCTTCTCGAGGGTCTTTCAATTATCTTCCTATTTATTTAACATTATATATTTAATCCTTTCCTTTTTTTGACATTTATATAATGGAACGTTCCAAAATATCCGACACACAAATTTTTCATTTATTTGTATTTTTATCAAATTTTATTACCGAAATTTTGATGTGGAAATATTATTACCCGTAGATTTCTTTTAACAAACGAGGAAGCAATTTAAACCAATCTTCGGTGATTATTTATTATAAAACATAATTTATAATGCAAGAAAGTAATGTATTTTTAACGGGGGTTTGCCGGTGTCGTTGTTATCGGATCTAAACAAATTGCATATTGTAACGAAAGCTGTCGCAACAAATGCGAGGTCACGCCTCTTGAAAGAACGTTTCATTTTTTCTCTCCTTTTTTTTTTTTTTTTAAATGTTTCACCTCGAACAAATTGCATTTTTATTCACCCTTAAATCACTATACATCCAGCCGCAAATATCTATGCAAATATATACGACGTTACATTTCAATTTGCACGAATATTAACAGTGCTGGACAGGGGGGGGGCTGTGGTCTGGGAGAAAAAAAATGAAAACGAAAGCTAAGAAGATTTTTTTTTAAAGAACTTTTGTATATAAAATAATTGAAGATTCAAAAATTGTATCATTAAATTTATAAACTTTATATGCATAAAAACTTTCTACTTTTTTTTTCTGATCTTTTCTTAAAAGTTTAATAAAAAGATGATTTATTGAATCATTATTTTAGAAAAACAAAAGTTTGTCATAGGATAAAGTATAATAAAGTTGATTTATGATTGAAATTAAAAGATGTATATTGTGTAGAACGGTTGGTAACCCTTCTTAAAGTCGTCGAACAATAAACGTTTGTAGGAAAAATATGACACGCGACGTGGTTCTTCTTCCAACGGGGGATGGTGGGGGGTTTATTTTTTCATCGTGAAATATGAGTCTAGGAAGCGAGTCTGTCGTCTCGACTCCGCCCTCTTTGCTTATACACCCTCAACCCCCATCACCTCCAACCCCCTCAACCTAGCCAACCATCCACCTCGAACTTGTATTGTGTTAACGATTATTTTCATATATTCGTTCTTTACTTTCGTCAAGCTTTTACATATTTCCTGCGTTGGAGAGGAAAAATAAAAAAAAAAAAAAAGGAAAATAAAATAAAAGTGTACCTAAATCATCGACAATTTATTCATTTATACGTTCTAATTCCATTTCCTATTACGTACTTCATTAATAAATTAGATTTACTAAACAGTTATAAATCTAAAGTAATCTTCGTCATTCAAAGTTTTATCTATCATAAATATATATATTATTTATTAAACATTTTCTATTTTACATATTTGAATATAAAAATATATTATTCCATGCAAATAATTGTGTTATAAAAATAATTTCTTTAATATAATATATATAAGACAGATAGAGATTTATTTAAAATTATTGTTTCTCTTTATAAATTTTGATATTAGAATCATATTTCGTATATAAAATAATTCTCGAATATAAAAATTGATGGGTAATAATTTTCAATAATAAACTAATATCAATTCTATTTTGATTGGTACGATGATATCTTACTTTGTGGTCATATCGATATTACGTTTCCTGTCAAAAGGTATCATTGAAAAGAAAATAAAATAAAGAAGGAATGTGAGAGACAGAAGGAGATAAGAATATTCGTTAGCATGAATGATTGATCGAGCCAGTTTAAGGCTTGTTCGCACTCGGTGGTCTTGAACAGAGACACGAGTTTAAAATATCAGGTAAGTCGTATGTCTCTCTCTCTTTACACATACACACGAATAGATATATAAAACCATATCTGTATACACTGGGTGAATTGTTTGAATAAGAAATTTCACAATATAGGTATTATTACTATACTACCTACAAACAAATGTAGAATTTTACTGTAGATTTCAAAACATAAACTATTACATATTATTATTTAAAAACTAAATTCTCTCTCTCTCTCTCTCGATCTATCCGTCAAAGAGAAGAAAAAATATAGGAAAATTGTGTATTTGAAAACGTCACCCAGTATATACCCCCACAGTTACACACCAGGGTAGGAGAGTAACTGCACGTGCGCACGGGGCCCAGAAATTCGCTGAAATTCGATCGATTCGAGATGAAAGTAACTCGGACTACTCTAAGCTAAAAGATGCAAAATCGTTTTTAAACCGGAAACGGGTACGTGCAAATCGAAAATAAAAAATGGATGATGATATGAAAGGTAACGAGAAAAGGATTTCAAAAAGTATGATACATTCATGAAAGGAATACGAAAAAAGAAAAGAAAAGATATTAAGAACGTAAATAAATAAATAAATAAATAAATGAAGAAGGAGAAGGAGAGGAAAAACCATGCGGTTGGGAAAAACATCGAACCCTAAACAGCAGCCAGTAGGAAATCCACCACCACCACCACAGCAACAGCAGCAGCAGCAGCCAGTTAAAAAGCCGAGTGCTCTCTTGACCCCGATTCCGTGATGCATTTCTTCTCTCGACCGATCGAAACTCGACCTTGCCAGATCTCCCACCCCACCCCCACCGTCAACCAACCACCCTTTGCCATCTACTTCCTACCCCTATCGTATTTTTCACCCCTTCACTTCACGTCTCTTCTTCTAACTCGAAATATAGAAAGGGAATAGAATATTTTAATCCTAATTTTTCGATCGAATTTGACGATATTTTTTGTTTTCAATCATATTTCTAAAAATTAAATATAAAATCCACGTTTCCTGTAATCTGTGCTTATGTGCAATTAATAATAAATCATGTTATTTTATATTACGAAAAGTATTATTCTCATGTACAACGATTCAATCAAATTTTCGTTTGATTTTTAATTATGCTGCAAGTTTTTGTCAAGTGAAACATTAGATAAATACAAAAAACAAAATACAAACAAAAATATATAATCCACGTGGCGGTCAACGTGTTAATCGACTTAAAAAACAAAATGATATACTAATTAAAAAAAATCAGAAAAGGAAGTCGAGGTAGTTAAGAAAATGAACGAGTACGAAAATAATAAATACAAGAGTTTTGAATCGATTTAAAGGAAATCACAGTGACGCCAACGTAACATTTAATATTCGACTTGTTATTGCAAAGTAATAAAACCTAATTAATTGTTACTAAACTATAATTCGATATCATTGACTATGAATAATAACACATAAAATACATACAACACGAGTATGTTGTATCGGTTGTGTGATATATGTCAAAAAAAAGATTTATGCACATACTTATACTAACTAACGAATATACTATATACAGGATGCAACCAAGGACCTTGTATAATAAAAAAAAAAAGCAGAAAGAAAAAGAAAAAACCCGGACTAATGTTAAGTATAAAAGTATAGAGTATGCACGTAACAATAATACCAGAGATGTCACAAAGAGTTTCATTTTCATTTTAATTTGAATTTTTGTTCTTCCTCTTCTTATTCTTATTCTTATTCCTCTCTTCTTCTTTTTCTTCTTCTCTATTTAGAGAAACACAGGAACATTGGAAATTAACTAACTATAGTCTTGGACTTTAATCAGTATAAAAGAAAGGATAATATGAAATTAACTTATGGCTATAACCTCTCAAACGCCCACATCCCGTTTGCGATTAGAGGATTATAAATACGCTTACGATTCCATACTAGACTTGTATTTCGCGTTAGCACGTGTATTAGAAACGAACGATTCATTTTACAATACATTTTTCAACGGGATAACAATTAATAAGAACGAAAAATATAAATATTCATTTGTGATAATATTATTGTTTAAATTATTATTATTATTGTGAGAGAAACAACCAAAATGGAAGGGAAATTAATTTGCGTCATGTTTTTCACCCTACTTTCTATGAAGATCGTTAACGCCGGGGTAAGTAAATGCATGCTACTGCGTTCCTGTATTATTTTTTTTTTTTTTATCTAATCAGTGATATTCGTGAAAATTTCTTTCGTGCATAGTATGGAAATTATTTAATCAAGTATATATATATCGTCTATTTTTTACGGTGAATTTTGGAGAGGGAAATATTTAAAAAAACAAATGAAAACATACTTTTTTTACAATAGAATTTGTGGCAGAAAATTTGTCAAAATTAAACTTGGCAATTTTATAATGTACTTAAGAGAAGATTAAGTTAAATGGTTTAGACAAAAAAAAAGGATAATTGATTTGGAAAATCACTTGGAAACTTTTGCCTAAAAAAAGAACTTTTAATTGAGTATGTATGTATGTATGTATATATGTCTGTCTGTCTGTCTGTGTGAATTTAAATATATAAATGGATGTCGTATTTATTACGTGGGTCGTGACACGATTTCTTGGCATCGTTCTTTCCGTCTCTATCCATCTTTCTTATCGCGAAAATCGATTTCAGAAGTCGTTGACACCGAAGATAGATCTTGCAAATCCTCCCCTATATTTTGTTTTCTTTTTTTTATTATTATTATTATAGTTTTATTTTATTCCCTTGTTATTTTGTTCCTTTTATTAGAATTTATTTATACGTTTTACTTTTACCGTTCTTTTTTCTTACTTATGAGATTGTTTCTTTTCTTTTTTTGTTTCTTTTTTTTCATATTTAGAACAATAGAATTACTCGTTATCCATTGGGCATAATTAATTAGACACATACACATACGTATATTAAAAATTAGTTAGATGGAAAATAAATTGTTCCCACGTTCGGCTCAAAGTTTTTCAATATTCTTCCACTCATGTAATATTTGTATATTACGCGTGTGTATTTTATTCTCAAGGAAATTTCATTCGCGTTACGTTCCTGATGTCGAATACTTACAAAATCGATATTACCGGTCGCTACCACCGCGACAGATAAGATATCAAAACGTTTTTTCTTTTTTTCTATTTTCTATCGAAAAAATTATTAGTCATTCTTTTAATTAAAAAAAAAAAAAAATAATTTCTGTAACATAACGCGGTCGTCTCATTTCTTTAATTTTCAAAAATGAAAGGAAAAGAAAATAGTTACATTTTCTAATCTCACACACACTCATGATTGAATTTATATTCTTTAATACAAGTTAGATTGAATCTTGAAGTTTATTTAAAAGGGAATACCAGTTTTGTTAACCGCAATAAATACTTTGTTTATGGTTAGTGGAAAGAAAAATAATTCTACGTATTCACGTAATAATAATGATCGATCTGTCTTTATGTGTAATCGTTATTTTTTCTTTGGTATCGGATTAAAAATGAAAAATCAAAGCGTGCGACGATAATAATATTATATCGAATATTCTAAATAATTAATATGAAAATTTCTACACAGAAATATATAATTAATATCAACTAACTTGATATACATCGAAAGAATATCTGATTCGAATAAGTTTTTGATTTTAATTAGCCACCAGATTGGGTACCTCCAGAAATGATAGAAATGGTTGCCGGAGATAAAGCTCGTTGCATGGAGGAACATGGAACTTCGCAAGGTAAGAAATAATTCAAAGTATTCAATAATTTTACAATGTATAAGAGAAAAATACAAAATTCATTTTTTTTTCAATTAACAATATAGAAATAATATAAAATCAAATATAAGTTAAATTTGTATTTTACAATTTAATGAAAAAAAAAAAAAAAAAAGAAATAAATCATTAAATGACGGATAAGAAAATTGTTTAATTATTCAATGTGTTTCTCTTCCTCCTTTTTTTTTTATTTAATGTTGGACAGCTCTGATCGATCAAGTAAATGATGGAAATCTGGTGAATGATCGATCACTATCCTGCTACATGTACTGCATGTTGGAAGCTTTCAGTCTGGTAAATCTTATCATCCAATCTTATCGTTTCTTTTTTTCTTCTTCTTCTTCTTCTTCTTCTTCTTCTTACTATTCGCATTATTTCCAAGATTTTTTCCTATACTTTTTTATACTTCTATACATATAAACACACATACTCCTACTATATATTTTTATTTATAGGTGGACGAGGAAGGTAATTTAGAATCGGAAATGTTGTTAGGATTCATACCAGATAATTTTAAGGAAATGGGTACCGATGTTCTCAATGCCTGCGCCAAACAGGGTAAATATTTATATCCAATTTATTATTCTATTAACGTTCTCATTATAACTATCAATATTATTACGCAAATTTTTGTTCAACCTATCAGATGGAGCGGATGGTTGTGAGAGGGTATTTAATGTTGCTAAATGCGTCCAACAAAAAGTTCCGGAGGTAAGTGATCGATTTTTTGTTTCTTTGTATATTTCATAAACGCACTAAATTATAATATTTTTTTTCCGTACACTTATCTTTCATTTAAAAAAGAACTTCGTTCAAACTGATTGCATAAAAAAAAAAAAAAAATACAATCGTTCTAATGCGAAAAATATTGTGTTCCTTTTTCAGTTATGGTTCATGGTTTAAAAAACGAAGAACGCTACAAATTTAGGTCAAAGGGGGAGGAGGAGGAGGAGGAGGGGGAAACTTTGTAAAAGCACTTACGACTATTAGAAATATCGTTATCTGTTTTTTTGTTTGTTTGTTTGTTTGTTTGTCTATTTGTTTATTTGCGTTTCTATTTTATTTTTCCAGTTGAAATTGGAAAAATATTTTGTATGAAAAAATCATACAAAAATGATTCCAAATATGAAAGGTACGCGTCAATAATTTCTAATTTAGAAATAATAATTATTCACGTATGTATACATGATCTATAATATTATTATAATAGAGAAAGATGCGAGAAAAATGTAATAAAATATAATAAAAAAAAAGTGAATCACATCTTATTCTCGAGAGATTTTTTAAAATGTAATTTGGAGCTCGTAATTTTTCAATCTAGCTTTGCAATCTTGTAATGCTGCAAAAAAAAAGATAGAAAAAAAGATTGGTCGGCAAAAGTATTTTGTCCATCTTGGAAAACATTTTCGATCTTACCTCCACATTTCTCTATTTTCTTATTAAAATGGTTTATTTTTTGTATTTATCGCAATTATTTTTAATTAATTGGTCATCTGTCTACGTTATTAAAAGAACAAAAAAAAACGAAATATCGAGATTTCTTTTTCAGATTGTTCATTGCACAATAATTTCCCGTATTATGAGTTTATTTTTATCTGTTTTTTCATTTGATTTGATTTTTTTTTTAATTTATTAGATGCGTATTTGTCGGGTATAGTAGGATCATTCTTTAGAAAACAAACGATTACGTGTATGTCTTCGAATCCTGGTAAAATTCCATTGACTTTAATCAGACAAGAAAATACGTGGTATAATCCTATCCATTAAAATATCAATTAAGTTTAGATGATATACTATGTCCATTACATAATCTACAATTTTCTAGCAACAACTATGATTTCCTCGTAATCTTAGATATATCTTTCTTTTAAAAAGGAAAAAAACACAATAAGAGATACACATCTTATTTTTAATTTTATTTAAAACCCGAGAACTGATTTAAATTTTTATTTAAATTTATTCGCAAAAAGGCAAACTTTTTATTTAATTACTTGATGAACCGGTTTGTTTTGATTCTTTTTATATGTTATATAATTACTTTAATAATTAATTTTTTTAATCATTATCTATATTAGAAGAGAGATAAAAATATCAATGATCGGGCAAATTGAGATCTGTAAAAATCGGAAAGAGGAAAGAATTATATTTCTTTTTTAATCGAAGGAATTGTACACAAAATTGCATAATCACGTAAGAAGATTATGAAAGCTGCGAAAAAAAAGAAGATACTTCGTGTAAGTTAAAACATTTGATTTAAAAATTATTTTTCTTTTTTTATATTATATTGAATTATCTTTATTAATATTTTTTGTTTCTTTTTTTTTCAGATCGACGAATGATCAATTCGTCCTATATACAAACATAATTAATAATTAACAAATCTAACAACTATATGCAACTACGATATAGATAACTAAAATACAAATTATCTAATAGTTAGCTACAAATGCTAGATGATAATGATAATGTAGGATAATTTGCCATGCTGTTTAATCTACGTGCAATTATTACAAAAATTATTCAACAAAATTGCGAAACGACAAAAATAATGAAAACGAAATGTTCTTCGAAGAAAAATAGAAAACAATACCAAACTAAAGAAATAAATCAAAATCAAAACGAAGAATTATCAGCCCACTAAAATGAAATTAATAAAACTCATCGATATTTAGGAATCCATATGTCGGAGAAAAATAAAAAGAAAATAAGCGGAATGAAGATAACAAAAATTGAATCTTGGTCAACGTTTTAAAAAACAACAAACAAATAAATAAATAAAATAAATAATAAAACAGAGCAAAAAATAAAATGCGATAAGCGTGCTGAATGTGATTTCTTCCTTTCTCTATCTCATTCTATATCTCTGTCTTTCTTGTTAGAAAAGAAGAGAAAAGAAAATGTGTGAATTGTATAAAACAATAATAATAATAATAATAATAAAATGGATGACGATGAGAAGGAAGGATGATGATCATCCAATACCTTAAGATCGATCGAATGAACGGCACCAGTGTGTTGCGAAGGATGATGCTCCTTCGTGTCGTTGGCACAGTTCGCATTGTTGTTAACGTTAGGCAAGGAACCTCCTGCTCGGAATTGATTGCCCAGGTTAATGTGAAGATGTTTGCCACTGGATTGCGGAGGACTCGCACCGGCACTCTTGACGGAGAGCGGGGCATCCGGGACACCAGATCCCGTGGGACTCGCACCCACCGAGCTGCTTGCTGACGCGACCTATGCAAGTCCGTCTCTTTGTGACAAATCGCTTTCAAACGAAGCGATATTTTTCCAAGCACGATTGCAATTTCTTCTTTTTATCCTCAAACCCATCCAACATTCATTTAAATACCCATTTTTTGAAAAGTGGCTTCTCGTCGTTCTTCTATTAATTCGAATGATACAAGATTTTGTCTCGATATTGCTAACAGTATTTGTAATATCAATTTTCTATCATACAAATATTCTTTATACGATCGTTCATACTTTTTTTTAATTATTTTGCAAGTAATACCAATCGTGCTTGGACACCCAAAGATTTTTCTACTTTTTTTTTTTTATTATCTACGTACTTGTGAATGAAACCAAAAAAGAAAGAAAGAACTAAATGAAATGAAAAGAAAGAGAACAAGAAAGAGACACGAATGATAATATTCTTTTTGTGTTTTTTTTTTTTTCGATTTATCTTTTACTCTTTCTATATATATCACTCTCTCTCTCTCTTTTTTTTGAAAAATGGTAAGAAACTAATATAAGATCTTCGTATAAAAATTCGTGGATTAAAATATACGCGAGAGACTTACGTTGAAGATATATAACGTAAACTTTCTTTCGAAGCATACTTAACTAAACAGGTTCTTGCCCAGCATTTTTATAATAACTTAGCCGACTAGATTCCATTCTCGATGTAGAAGTATACGAGTATAAAAATTGAATACAATGTTTGCCCGTTTGTTTTTGCCTGCAACGCCATAAGAATATTTGGAACGTACATTTTAATACCTACGTGAAAGAGAAATTTTTATTTTTTCTATGATTCCAATGTGAAAATAATCGAATTGCATTTGTGAGAAGCACAATTTTTCTTTACCAAAAAAAAGAAGAAAAACTTATATGTGTATGTACATACGTATACATGTTGTATGTGTGTGTGTAAGATAAACAGACTGCATTTATTTATTCTGTAATTTGGCAAAATCTTTTTTAAAGAAATTCACGAATTTTAATTTACTTTCAATCAAATTTAATCTATAACGTGTTAATCAAAAAGTTTATTGTTATATTTTCTATTTCTCTTTGACTTTCGAACAAATGTTTTTTCTCAAAAAATTAAAACAATCTAAATGAATAATAAATGCAAGGAAAAAAGAATGAAAAAATCATGGCCGACGAATAATAATGAATGTCGAGGAAGATCAACATAAGTTAGAGAACTTGAAGCGTTCTTATTCTCGAATTAGATTGACCTTGTTAAAAAGCCAACGTACATTTAGTTATACGCGTACTGAGTAAATGAACATTAAATTTGGCATAAATTAAAAAGAGATCGAATAAACAAATCAACTCTATCTGCACACTCGTGTGCAATAAATAAATAAATAAATAAATAAATAAATACAAAAATAAAACAAATTAATATAGAAAAAGTAGCGAAACAATCAACCAATATATCGATCATTTCCATAACATAATTTTCAAGAAAATTAGAAATTTATAAAATCACGATAAGATACTAAAAGCATAGTTATTGGTTGAATCATACCCTGAACGAAAGTAGGTTACTGACCCTTGTCTAGTAAACGGCTAAATAAGTAAAAGCATGGTATAACTAGTCTAACTTGTTTTGCAATTAAATGATTCATATTAGAAAGATAAATATATATATATATACACACACATACAGACATATTACATATGTTATTTTATATATTATTTTATATAATATGTAGTTATTTTAATGCACATTAATATTAAATATATATAACATATATTTATACAATTTGTATATATATAAAATAACATACATAAACATAATAGAAAAGATATCGTCTCTCTTCTAATTAATTATAGGCCTTAAATATATATTGTATATATATATATTATATTATGTAAAGGCACATACATAAGGTACATTAATCAATTTTCCAGAATATTAATTTGCCTATCCGGACGAACGAATCAAAGAGAGAACAAGTTATTCAACCATTAACAAACTTTTACAAAATTTTCTTCTAAAAGAGACATTAAACTTAACTATCCTTTAATAGCAAAAACTTTTAAATTATACTAATCGTCAATAATTTCATATCTTCTTCTAAACCCTTACTCCCTACAACTTTTTCCATCTCAAAAAATTATATTTTCACAAATATATTATTCGAATTCTTCTTATTATATTTTTCATCTGATTACTTTTTTTTCTTTTCTATTGTTTTTCTTTTCTTGATAAAATTAATGAGATTTCGAATGAAACAAAATTGAAAATTCTTCCTTGCTTCTATTCTTCAGTGTATACCTTGTATTCGAAAAGTGTTGAAAGAAAATTAAAAGATAAATTAAAAGAAGAATAATAGAAAAAGTAGAAGAAGAAGACATTAACTTAAACGAACGAATAGAAAGAGCATAATTATTGGAATCTTTTGTTTTACACGTGTCATTCATACACAATCATAAATATTCTAATCGTCTATCCCATTAGATAAGGCATGTTTGTTTCAAAAATATTCAATTAAATCTAAAAAAAGAAAATACTTATAAAATCCACAACCCATACATTGAAAATAAAATTTTGAAAATATCGACTTTCGATATTTTACTATCGATATGTCGATCTATCGATCTATCAATGAAACAAAATCGAAATTTAAAAGCCCAAAGGAGAAAAATAATAGAAGAAAAATGATTATCAAACCTGCTAACAATCGTCAACAAAAATTCAATGCATTCTCATGTATGTAACATTTAAAAAAACGGAATCGAATTCCTTTAAAATAATTAAACAGGCAGCTGTCTCAAACAACGACGTAATATCGCCATCACCGACTACGACGCACATGAATACAGAGACAGCAGGCTAACTAACACGATACACTAACACACGTTAGTAAAATACTAATATATATACGAAAGTAACACACGAATATAAACGAATGAAAACACAACGACGCCAAAACGCTTCTCTCCACGCGACGAAGTTATCGTTATCTTCCTCTCTCCCTCTCTCACTCTCTCTCTCTTTTTCTCTCACTGTAACCCTAGCAAAGTGAACCAGCCAAGAAGATGAAGAAGAAGAGGAGACATAAACCCCTTCCCATCTCCTCCCAACGAAGAAAATAAAAAAGAAAAACAAATATACATACACGGTCTCTTATTTCACGTTTCGTATCTTGTAACGCAAGGATATCATCATTTTAACAGAAAAAGAGAGAATAAAAAAAAAAAAAACGGTAAAACATTTTTTAAACACACGCTAAATCAAATGATACATCAAATATAACATTATATTTTCATTTTTATTACATACTTAAATATTATTTTCATCATTCCTAACGAGAGAAAACTTTAAATTTTAATTTTAATATATATTAATCAAATAGTAAAAATAACTAAAATAAATAAAAATGCACATACACACATACACACGCGTAATACATATATGTGTATGTATGCATGTATTTATAAACAAGAGTGAAGTGATGTTGCACATTATATGCGCATAAACGTACTACTCAGTAAATGCAAAAGAAAGAAAAAAAGGAAAGAAAAGGAAAGAAAAGAAAGAGAAAGAAAAAATAAAAAGAGAGAGAAAGAACGTAAACAAGAAGCTTCTCTCTCCCTCTCTCTCTCTTTTTCAATCTCTTCCCCTCTCTCTTACTCTGCTCACTCTCTCACTCGCCCTATCTACCCCTCTCTCTCGCAAAAGACTTTTTAATAAGTTAAACAGAGAGAATAACATATAAATGGGGGGTATGGGGGAAGGGGGAAGGGCGAGAAAAATATTGAAGTAAAAAAGAAATAAATACAAATGGAAATAGAAATGGAATAAGAAAGAAAGAGAGAGAGAGATAGATAGATATGCAGTTGATAGAGATAGATGAGAGAGAGAGAATGAGAGAGATTGTCCCTTAAGATAAGGACCTACTGTGATTTCCTTACTCTGCTCGTAACGTCCGATACTTCTCGCATGATCGCTTCAAAAGCTGCCGTCTCCTGCGCCTCCTTCTGGTTGAGCAAGGCAATCTTTTCACTGAATTTCCGTGGATTCGCCATGATGGCTCCTCTCTCTCTCTTTGTGGCCGCCACTGGACTTTTCCAATTCAACTACACATACACTTAAAAACTTCCTAATAGACGACCAACGCACACTACCGAATAGAGAGAGAGAAAGAGAAAGAGAAAGAAATAGACACACATACACATACACAAGCACTTATTCAACTCTTACAATCCAAAGTAGTGTAGTAGTAGTAAACGTGAGAGCGACGTGCGCGTTTCCCCTGCGCGTTTTTTCCCTTTTTATCCCTAACTCCTACCCCTCGCTATTTACCCTAACCCCCAATTTCCCTCCCAACCGTTACTCCCTGCCCCTTTTTTTATTTATTTATTTATTTATTTATCTCTTTCTCCCTCTCTTCCACTCTATCACTCACTTTTCATCGGACACACGATTAGAAACACTAACTTTGTTTGTTTTTTATATATATATATGTGCATTTACTTATTACATGCATACACATGCAAAACATGCAGACACACATTCACTCACTCACTCACTCACTCATTTATTTGTTCTATAACTTGCTCACTTACTCTCACGCGGGTAATTCACGCGAATTCATGCACGCACACACGTTATCGTCGTGGGATAATATGCGGTACATTAAATACACTGAACGAGTTCGTTCGCTCTTTTTCTTTCTCTTTCTTTTTCTCTCGTAATCGTTCGTTTATTCGCTTGCTCACTTGCTTGTATTTTTGCTTGCTTGCTTGCTTGCTTGCTTGCTTGCTAGGTTGTTCGGTTAGGTTCGACTAGACTCGGTTACATTCGACTCGACTCGACACTCCGATTATTTAGATACTATTACTACTATTCGTTTGTTAGTTCGTTTCTCGTTCGTTCACTTTTCTAATACTCTCAACGATTCTGTCTGACTGACTTAAATTGATTCACTAACTGATCACTGACCACTGACCACTGACTACTGTCTGTCTATTTGTCGGTCTGTTTGTCTGTCGAAAAAACTGACTGACTGACTTACTAACCGTCTGACTTGTCGACACCACTGACGACGGACTACTACTAGATTATGCGGCACTGCGCGCCGCACGTTACGCGCAGCAACAACCTTTTTCGCGGGCTCATTGGTCGAATATCTTTTTATCGATAGCGCCCTCTTCATTTTTTCACCTTCTTATTATTGAGTTTTAATATTTACTTACTTATTTCTATACACGTTCTTTTGATTATTACCAATTAGTCCTGTTGGTAAAAATAGATATCTATTTTTTTTTTATGTACAAATACACGAGAAATATTTTATTGATTTATTTGAAAATGATTATTTATTTTTATTACGATGTTTCTTTTCTTTCTTGCCCAACTAATTTTAATATATATAATGCGTAGATTTTGGAAAATTCGTTTCTCGCTTTTTGATTGGTTGAAATGTAATTTCTAGATTACTTCGTCTAGATTTTTTACGAATACAGGAGAATATTTTCTAATTTATTTCTTGATATAGAAAACAAATTATATTTTAATGCTTTATTTTCCCATATTTTAATGCTTTATTCTCCTATATGATTAATGCACAAGTATGTATTTAAATGTTTTTTTAACTACGCAAGTTGTTCCTGTTTCTCGACTCTGATTGGTCGATATGTTTCATTCCTTCTATTAGATGACACAAAATACGCTATTTATTTTTAAAATACATATCAATACAAAATATTATACAAGACCGATTAAAAAGTTGAAACAGGATTTACATTTTTTGTGATTCGGGTAATTTTTTAAAGAATATTATTTAATAATTTCTATATATATAATATTTTATTTCTTTCAAAATTTGAGCTATCTCAATTGAATATTATTTTATAAAATAAATATTATAGTATAAAGTAAATAGAATACAAAGAAAATGGGGCCTTACTTTACATATTTTCATTTTATAATTTGTTAACAATAATATCTTTCTATGTTCTTTATTATTTTTTGTAATATTTTTTGTCTTTTTTTATTTTTTTTATGTTTAAAATCATACATATTATTTTCTATTCCTTTTGTTTATAATTCTTAATAATAATCAAACAGCTATGAGATATTAAATTACAATTTCACTGTGATTAATGTGTTTAATTATCCAATCACTTTCTTGATTTACACAATAATCTCTTGAAAATACGTAATTGCAAACAAACGATTTCTTCTGTTTTAAAATTGTATATTTTTGGATTTTATCCTGTACCTGCGCATCGAAAAATTCATTCATATTGAAGCCCGGTATGTAATGCCCTATCAATATAAATTCTACCCTTTGCTTTTCTATAAGAAAATTGATAAACATCATAATAAAAAAGATCTTTAGAGAAATTTAAAAATTCAATTAATTTCCATATAATGTCAATAAAATTACCTTCAGTGTTAGATATTTGTTTTATGTTAAGATCATATGCCATGAAAGCCGTAAAATTTTCTTCTTTTATAGCAATAAGCTTTCTTTGTTCTTCGGTTAACGTATCTATTCTTGTTTTTAATACATTTAATAAATTACTATCTACTAGGTTGTATAATGAATCGTAATCTTTATTCGACAGAGCTATGGATACTATAGATGCTGCCTAAAATGAATTTCATTCATTAATTCATCAATTATATTACACATGCCATATACTTCAATTTTAAACAACTACTATTATAATAAAAATTATTTCTCATCGCATTAATATTTAGATTAATAGCATAGACGAGTTTAACGATGAGATGTAATATTTAACTTACACTTCTAGTGCTCTGAAGAAGATCTCTCAACTTAAATTCAGGATCTTTAGTCACTATGCGTATAAATAATTCCATAAATGGTATTTTGAATAACTTAAAAATATTGAATGTAATGTTTATCGGGCCAGGTATTAGTTGTGGTAACTTTACTTGACTATCATTATTTTCGTCATCATTGCTTTTACTGTAATGATTTCTATATATTGTTAAATTTTCTTTTGAGGTTAGAGGCTGTAATATTAATTCTTTTGATTGATATAAAATCCTTCCTGATATAAAATTATTGTATGTTACGGATGCAGACAAATTTCTTAAATCTAATCGCTTAACTGCATTTCTTATTATCACTGATAACATTTTTCTATTTATTTTTAATTAGTTCATATACGCACACGTATACAACAACGTGTGCACAATGTATACAGCACATTTGTATGCGCACACGTTAAAGTTTTTAATTATTTTTTTCGTATTTTTTATTACTTTTATTGTGTGTTATATATGTTTTATATATAGTTTAATAATTCATACATTATAACAATATATATTCTTTTATTTTTGTCAACTAAATATTAATTCTAAAGCCGAATATTTTTGTTATAAAATATTCTTAATTCATACAAAACATTTGTAATTTTGTTAACATAATGATTAATTATATAATTGAATATTCATTTATTTTAACAATATTTATATCGAAGTTAACAACAATGACTTGTCGAAATATTTACAATTTATTTTGTAAGATTATAATATATCTTTAAAATTAGCGCTCTGTTTCCTCTACTATATTGTGTGGCGATTGGTATTATCTATGAAGTTGCGCCCACATGAGAGGAGGTAGTGTATTTTTCGTCCCAATATAATACGCCTGAAGTTATCAGTAAGGCCAGGTCACGGAGGAGACTAAACAAGGAGTACGGAGCTCGAACATTAATGATGGCCGAAATTTGTCCACGCACATCGTATATTTAAGTTTTCTTTTTTCACCACTAGTGTCGCTATGTACTTTTGTACTGCTCTGAATATAGTAACATATTGACTACTATTACTATTATACTATTTTACTCATTTGTTTTAATGATTATTAGATAATTTTATTTATTTAATTCAATTATTTATACCATAAGCAACCTAATTTTGATGACTGTTATAAGGTTCCCGTACTATACTATTATTTTTCTATTTCAAACTGCTCTTTAAATTTCCCCTTTTTCTATTTTTGTCCAAATAGAACATGGATAAGGGGTGGGGACGGCGCCCTTTTATTTTTATATTCCCCTAACATTGTATACACGGAGGAGCTCGTACCCCTTGCGTAGTCTCCCCATAAGTAAGGGCGCTGATGACGTGCTCTCTGTCTTAGATATTCGTGAGAGCCGTACAATTAATTTAAAATCCGTGCCGTTTTATATACTAACCGTGCTAATTTCCTCCGCTTGCGAGAAACGATGGTTGCAGCGTGTCACCTAGCGTTTGATGTCAGAACTAGTGTGATCGGCGCGCCGCGGTTGTGGCGATGCAACTGCAAGTCACCACAAATATAAAAACTTCATTTTAATTACTTGATTGATTTAATTATCTGTGATGTCATATATATTTAATATCAAACAAATTATTATTGTTTAATTGTCCAATTCTAAATTACTTAGTCTAAAATTAATAGAAACATTAGTTTGGTAATGTTGGTAAGACTGTTACGTAAAATAATCTCGCGTGTGGTTAAAGTGTGGTTAGAAGAGTTTATTATTATCGTTTAATAATAGAAAGATTTAAAGTAAAAAACAATCATGAGATTAACTAATTATTTATTTAAAAGAGTTGCAGAATGGACGAAGAAATATTCAAATTTACCTGACTCCTACATAGACCGTACCATGCGACAAGTACGTAGAGTTTATTTATTTATAATTTTTATTAAACTTATTCTAACATTTATAATCATATAGCAATTATAAAAACAATTGTATCATCGTATTATGTTTATTATCGTAATTTGTAAAAATAGGTTTATTGGAAAACTCCTAGAAAAGTTCAATATCTTAATCGTACTCACGAACGTAAACGTTATTGGTTTTCAATTCATAAACCTTGGACGAATCTTTTTAAGATAGAAAATGCTAAAATAGAGTTGCCCCCAGCTATTCCTGTTGAGCCTATCAAAGATTGGAGTTTTTTCCGTGGCGACAGAGTAATCGAATATTTGATTTTATATTAGTTCTTAAATTTAGTATACATTTAGAATAGAATTAGATCGTTCTTCGTTGTAGGTTGAAATATTAGTAGGAAGAGATAAAGGTAAACAAGGTATAGTCAAAGAAATAATACAGGAAAGAAATTGGGTCATTGTTGAGGGTCTTAATACTAAATTGGAGTGTATAGGAAAATCTAAAACGTTTCCTGGAATATTCATGGCAACTGAACAACCGTTATTAGTTACTACTGATATCGTTTTGGTCGATCCTCATGATTTGTATGTATATTACAAAATTAACATGTTACGAGTTTATATTTTATTATATTATTACTCATTCGATATATCGTTTAGAAATGGAACGAAGATAGAATGGAGATATACAGAAATGGGTGAGAAAGTACGCGTATCCGTTAGAACCGGTAGAATTATTCCGATTCCGGAATCTGCACTAGAAACTATAGATTATAAGTCTCCTCAGCTTTACAAAGATCAAAGTAAAGATACGTCTAAGGATGATGCAGAAACAGTAACATTTCAAGTAAGCATTATTATATACCATCATTCGAGTAGTACAAGAAAATGTAATAGAATGTTATTATTTAATATATTTTTCTTACATATACTTTTAGCCAGCATTAAAAACTTTCGAAATGGATATTATGGAAAAAATGGGTATTCAGGAAGATCGTGTACCTAAGAAAGTGTATTGGTATTAGAGTATATTGTAAGTAGATATATGTATTAATACATTTATTAAATAAACAAAAAAATTATCTATTTATCTATATATTAACTGGGATAATTTTTACCAAAATATTTTGATCTATTTATTTATGACACGCTATGTATTTCTTTTTATTTTTTATTACTTTTCTCCATTTATATTAAAAAATACACCGAGCGATGGCTTTTGTTTATAAACTCCTGTATTTAGATATGTATGTAGAAATATTATTTAACAAAAAAATTAATATTATTAGAGTTAGATAATAACCAACTTCATATGTAACGTTGACTGTAAATTGTAGATTATACTATATTCGATATCTCATTGATGCAGAAAGATTTTCTTTTTTTTCTTTTTTTTTTTTTCATATTTTTTGTTTGTTTGTTAATTTATCTTATTTAAACAACGTCATGCATACATATCACAGAACAATTTTTTACAAACGCACACAGAATACCAAAAAAAAAACACTAATTGCAAATTTAATTAAAAATAATATAAATCCAATATTAATAATATATTTTGCCTTATATTAATATAATAGTTTTTTATATATATTTAAACAAAGAAACATAAATTTTTTTTGTATTCGTAAGAAGCAACGTAACGACGAATCATAATAATAATTTTAGATTAACAAAAATCTTATAACATATTTTATTATTAATAATAATAATAATAATGCAAATTCGTGATGCATTGCGTTTATATTTATATATACTCATTGGAAACTATTAAGCTGTTTTTTAATTTCTTGTAAATTGTATGTTTGTATACAGTGATTGTCACTTAAAATCATGCATTGCTACGATTACTAGATTTTTTCTTATAAATTATTTATAAATGTTCATACATGTACAAGTGTACATAGGTATGTAATGTTTAAACAATTAAAAAATAATTATTAAATTGATTTTATTACTAGAAACCATTTGAACAGTGAAAACAAAGGTGGCTAACTGTTTAAAGTGAACAAATCAAGTATCCCTCCTGTTTTTACAGTTATTCCAACACATACGATTTTTAGTGACGGGTGTTTTTTGTAAATTATTTTCGTATTTGCATAGTTCATTTGTTATTAATAATATTTTCAAGTTAAATTCATTTAATATATAATAAAGATATACTAGTGTATTGATATATATTGTAATAGTTTTCAAAAAAAAAATCTAATAAGCGTAATAGTATACGATTTTAAATTACGACCCCACTGTATATTCTGGTAAGCCTCTAAGGAGAGTGAAAGGGTTAGGACATAAAAATTGAGAAGGAAAAACGAAGAAACTATTACGAAATTATGCAGTATTATTAAGGTAAATATGACTTAATTAGCGAGGATTTTAGGATTTCAACTATACGAACTATTTAACGTCGATAGTATTATTGCACTTTTTCAGCACTATATATTTTAAGGTTATGCTTCAAAAGGTTGATGTAATAAATGCATTCAATTTGTCTCTTTCTAAGGCACTATTTCTATTTTTCTCATTCTTTTTTTTTTTTCTTGATTATTATTTTAGCGAATATTATACTTTGACGTACATGGCATAACCTTAAAAATGAAAACAATAGATAATAAATATATATATGTATATAGAAATTTTTTCTTTTCTTTTTCTTTTCATTTTCTTTTCATTTTCATTTTCATTTTCATCTCCATTATGTCTATCAATTCTCTGATCTGAACAATTGATAATCCCTTGATAATTGAATCGAACAATACAAAAACAAGAGAAGTCCATTTATAATTTACTATAATTCACGAGGACTTGGTGGCAGGGTGCCTGACTAGGAGGTTCACTTCACCGTCATGTAATTTTTTCATCAGAGACCAAGCCTCTATCCTCGACATTCTTGTAACATCACTACCATTTACTTCCAGTAATTGGTCCCCTGCCTTTAATGCACCTGTCTTTTCAGCAGCACCTCCTAATATTTCAAGAAATAGTTTGATTAAGATTATTTTAATTAGAATAAGTTTAGAATATATATCAAAGTTTACTTACCAGTAAATATTTTCTTTATTACCAACGGTTTGTCTCCAAGTGGACTATCTCGTCCTCCTTCTAAACTGAATCCAAGACCAGCTCCATCTTTGTAAACTGCGACCATTGATGGTGGACCCCAAGCAGTATCTTCCACAGCATTCATTTCGAATCCTAAGTGAAGAGGATTAATATTTTATTTTAATTAGAATTAAAAATAATTGTAAAGTACATTTTTTATTGTATTAATGTTTTAAATGAATTAAATGTAACACGATTGATTACCTTCAACAATGGTTTCGACACTAGCAGTCCTTGATTTTAATTTACATCCTTCTTCAATTCTTGCTCTGGATACAACCAGTACAACTTCTGATCTTGGTTGTTTTAATACAGTTAAGCTTTCTCTATGCGTAAGACCACGTGCACTTCTACCATTAATACTAAGTATTCTATCTCCTCTTTGAACACGACCATCCTTGTCAGCAATAGAATGAGCTAATACACGATGAACAGTTATTTCTTTAACTTCGCAATCGGCTCCACCTGCCAATGTTATTCCTACGCTTCCTGTAGGATTTTCTTTGTGTAGTAAGACTACTATGACCTCGTGAGCGCAACGAGCTTCTTCCAAGCTAGCTTCTTCTACAAGCTGAGCTAATTCTTGTTGCGAAATCAGGCTGGTACTGCTGGCCAATGAACTTATACTACCAAATTGTTCGCTATAAAATCTTTCGTTATCTGTTTCATTTCCAATCGATGATACATTCTCATCGACGCTACTGTCCAAACTTGGGAATCGATTGTGAGACGAAGTTTGCATTACTTGTTGATTCTGACCATTATTAGTTGTAGCATCGATTTTATCTAAAGCTTTTTTCATGTCAGTTACACTGACGCTACGTCTACCTAAATTCCTAGCTGTTGGAATCTTGGACGTATTGTTTTTTGATTTTTCTATTAATTCTGTTTCATCATTGTTATCTAAGATTCTCGATCTATCTAACGTCGGTATTTTTGAGACAAATAGTTTATCCTCTCGCCAAGAATCGTTAGAATTCGTTGGCGTCTTTTTGATAAAACGATTATTGTCTCTGGATTCTGTACTAGGTCTATACGAAGACAAACCACTTCCATTTTCCGTTCTACCTTCGATACTTTGTGTTCGTAATAATTTAGGATTCGGAGTTTCTACCTTGGCACTTAGTATGTCTTCTAAACTCATTTGACTCTTGGATCTACCAAAACTACCATCATCAACGTGTATCGCAGATCTCGATCTACTTCTCGTCGTTAGGATAGTCAAAAGATCGTTTTGATCTTCTTGTGTATTTTTTATTGGAGTACTGACTTTGCATCTTTGTTTCATAGTTTCTTGCGAAATCTGTTCAGTTTCCTTTTGAACAGATCTTTTCTTCAAGCCTAAATCATTGGAATTGTATTGTTCGTTAGTATTACGTGACGTAGTTTGATTTTTCAATACCACCGAACTTTCTTTTTCTATCGTATTAACTAACTTTTCTTCTGCAGATCTAGCCATAGCTTTTGCTTCGGCTCTAACCCACATCTTCAAGTCGTTCGAAGGTTCCAACATTTCCGATTTGGGTGGTCTCACAGCTGGTGTGATGATAGTTCTTTTTGGAGGTAATTTAGGCTCTTCAATTTTCATTTGCAACTGATCATCTTCTTCTAAGAAGGAATCAGTAACTTCTATGTAAGCTATTTTGATATCCTGTTTAGGAACGCCATTATTAACGTTATTTTTTCTTCTTGTTGTTCCTCCATTTTCAGCATGAGTCTCCTCTTCGTCCGAGAATTTTCTTTGGATTAATGGAGAACCGTTTAAATCTCTACCACTTCTACATCTTGCGCTAGCCAATATATTCTTTCTGTTGATGGCTTCTACGCTCTGAGGCTTCAATACTCGTCTCGATAATGACTCTGCACTAGCCTGGGAACCCGATGTTAAGGTCGATGATGTACTACAATTCGTTTCAGTACTGTTAGATCTTCTCAATGTTTGCCTTTGAGGAATTTGTGAACTCCTTGTTGCATCTACTGGCTGAGGTGAATGTGGATTAGAACTGCTAGTACTACTGCTCGACGAAGATGATCTTTCTGATGAAACGTATGTTCTTTCGTTATTAAGAATATTAGGTCTGGCATGAAATTGTTCTGTATTAATTATTGATTCATTGTCAGACTTAACAAACGTTTTATTCGAGGTGTCTATGATATAAGATCGACGTTGATAGTTTAATTCATTCGAAACGTAAGATCTTTCAGAAGAAACGGTTGATCTTTCTGATGGTACAGGTGACATAGGTGGACTGAAACCACGTGATATGCTACTCTGGGAACTACTTACTGCAGAGTCATTGTCAGAGTCATCGTAATCGTTACGTGTTTTTCTCTGTGTATTAGTTCTTGGTCTACCGCGTAAAACATCTGGTGAATTACTCGTAGAAACAAATTCAAAACTGTAATCGCTTCTCGTCGGACTGCATATACTTTCTAAACTTTTAGGTGGTTCGGACAAGGTGTTACTTGTATTGCTATTCGTGTTACTACCTTGAGTATTTTTTGTCATATATGTTGAAGAATTTATTGTATTACTGGAAGAACCGTAAACAGTCAGACTCTTCCTTTTGAAAGCTGGTGAATATTTTGAGTTTATCTGAGGAGCTGGCATCTTGAAAGATGTAGCTTTCAAAGGAACACTAGCTGAACTTGTATTACTTGCTATTGAACTTTGCGATCCCCATTTGTCGTGAATGTTAGCCTTGGGTAACTGTAAAATAAATATGTGGATATTAAAATATGAAATTAAATGATTAATATTAATTATTTTTTTTATATTATCAGACTAACCTGACTCAGTAATATGGAATTACGCGATTTAATTTCCGGTAGATCAACGATAGGTTGTTCGATAGGTACAGTTTCCTTTTCAGGTATTACCAAACCACGTAACTTCGAGATCGATCGTCTCCTCTGTTCGATCAGTTGATTCAAGCTAGTTCTTCTCATATCCTCGCTGTTTCTTCTAAAAGTAGAAGCCAAGGAATTTGTTCTGGATACTTGATTGTTACCATTAGATACATCATTGTTTCCCGACGATCGTTCTTGAGTAAACGAGCTTGATCCTGAGAAACTTGTAGCTCTTGTTAAAATCGGTGTCGATGTCGTTTTAGTTGGGCTGCTTATTGGGCTGATTATTGGGCTGTTCAACATCGAGGAATACAATTTCGTTGAACTTTGCATATTATCCGGGGAAGAAATTGTACTCGATGGAGAATAAGATTTCGTTGGGAAAGATGTAATGTAATTTTTGGTGTCCATAGAAGTCGTTGCTATTGTTGGTTTATGTGGTACTGGCGGTGGTGGTGGCATTTTCGAACTGTTAGGATATCTTTTGCAAGGTGAACCTTCCGGAGAATAACTCTTAGCAGAATCGGTCAAATCGAATGAACTTTGTGTTCTGTCTGAGAAAAATGAACATCTTTCCTTATGATTAGGACTTTTCTCATCCGAACAAACGTCTTCGCTCGATTTGTATTTGGATAATTTTCTAACGTTAGTTACGTTAGCAACGTTTACTGTATTTGGGAACAGAGGTGCATCCAAACTACTTTGCGAGGAAAACATTGCGATCTTGTCTCTGACCGATCTTTCAGATTTGTCGTCTTGTCTCCATGGGTCTACGTTTATAGAAAATTTCGTAGGAGATTGATCGATGTTTTTCGAATGTAAATTCAATTGTTCCAGTTTCGGTGGGCCTGTAATTCAAAAACGAATAAATCGATACAATATCATAAAAGTAAACCGAATCGAGAAGATCATTTTTTACATAATGCATATAATTGAAAAGATTTGAATGAATCAAAATTTACCAGTCAAAGGTAATGGTGGTGGAATCTCGGGGCATATTTCTTCGGATCGAATTTGAATTTCCGTCTCGATACTCGGAATTTCTTTATGATAATAAGCAGCTATTTCAATTTTCTTTTCAGATATTAATATGGCCTCTCCATTAGCAATCGGCGAATTATCGGATTGGCTATTGTGACCGATCGAGTTTGAGAAATTTCTGTTTGCAGATTTGTCGTCTAAATTCGTTTCGAAATAATTCTTTTCGGTTCTCGAACCGAGAACGTTGTTGCTTTCGTTGGTTAATACTTTGAAGTTATCCTTAACGTTGAAAGATTTTTTATTATCGTTTTCGTACAAACGAAAACTATTATTTTCGGTAATATTATTATTATTATTATTATTATTAATTGTCGTAGTAGTCGCCATAGTGGACGTTGTTGTAGCGGTTATAGCAGTCGTCGAGTTAGTTGGAAATCTGTATTCGTGTTGAGTAGCGTTATCGTTAGCAAATTCTTGATATGCTGCTGGAAACTCGTCCCCATCTGGGGGCAGCCGTTGACCGCCTCCACAATTGTCCATTCTATCATTTACCGAATCTGAAAAAGAGAGACTAAATTCAAATATATGCGTGCATATATTGTATCATACGCGTGTTAGCAGCGTAGGATGTTATTTATATACACGTATTCCCAGATATGGGAATTGTATCCTGTTCAAATTTATAGATCGTTCAAGTCGTATATTTGGTGGGCTACAAGATTTTAAGCCATCTTAAAAAAAAAAAGAAGAAAAAAGAGAAAAATAATCTTTTTATAATTAATTTAAAGTTGCGGTTTGTGAAAAACGATCGAATGGTTTTGGATATTATTTATACGGTTTGTATTTTTAATTAGAATTAAATATACGATTTTATTTGTTTCAAAAATGTTTCATATTATATTTGAGTTATTTTATTTTTCAAACAAATCATATTCCGATCATTCGATTCGTTCGGTTAGGATAGAATTTTTAGGGTTGAACTCGTGTGATTTATATTCTCGATAAATCAAATGACGGAAGAAAAGAAGCAGAGGCAGAAGAAGAATAAGAAGAAGAAAAAAAGTAATCGGTTAGGATGTGGAATAAAGTTAGTTCGAATTCCGTTATGAAAGGATCATTCGATTCGATCGAACGATTTTAAGGGGAACATTCAGGACTCCTCTGATGTTCATGAATTTCCTGGTTCTCGGACCTTCCAAAGGATAAGCATTTTATGTCGTCTTTTTTTTGTCCTCTCCTTGTTGCATATATGTTTATGTGTGCATGTGTGTGTGCGTGCATGAGAGAAGAGAGAAGTGTGACAAAGAGAACCCCATGGTGCACAGGGGCTATTAGCAACTAACGGTGCATTATCATCTTCGCATTCCTGGGAATCCTTCCTACGATTCGCTTTTAACTGCGAATCGGGTTCTTCGTGAGCAAGCAAGTATATAAGCAAGCAAACAAGTAAGTAAAGGAAGGAAGGAAGGAAGGAAGGAAGGAAGGAAGGAAGGAGTAAAACGCCCTTCTCCTTTAACCAAAGATGGCTGCAAACTCGAAGGACACGCTTGGAGACGTAGCGTAATCGCGAATGGGAGAGATGTCCGATTCTCCAAAAAGAAAAGAAAATAAAAGAAAAGAAAAGAAACACTTTTAAAAAGAATATAAATGAGATATATAAAGAGGTAGATGAGAAAAAGTAATTTTTCGCCATTTTGGGATCCCTTAAGAAATAAATTAAACGTAGAGATTATTTCAAATTGGTTACACAGTTAATGGTCTAATTAATATTCTCTCGTTATTTATTTATTTATTCATTTATTTTTAAAGCCATAAAGAAAATTGGAACATTTCAAGGCTCGTGTAGAAATAAGAATGCTATGAACGACCCGTTAACTTCGTAAAAATAAATGTCAAGTTGAAACTTGACAAAGTGCATACCCAACTAAACGTTTCTTATGGGATTCCTATCAACTAAAATCGCGAACCAGTTAATCTCCGCATTCCCATACGTCGGGATAAATGTTTAACTTCGCGGACTTATGGCTTTTTCTTATCGCCGTTCGGTTCCTTGGAAAAGCAATGCTCGATCCGAATGAACAGCTTCTTGGTTAATGATCAATATGTATGCGTACTAGAGTGCAAGAAACGTATGTTAACACCAATAAGAAACTAACATATATATATATTTATACAAGGTGTTTCAAAATGAGCATATATTCAAGGGGTGATTTTAATAGGTTAAAAATAGAAAAAAGAATAAGAATCGTTCACATACAATCATATACCTTTGATATATGGCCCTGAATTACAGCTGTGTTTTGCCTTCCAATATAATTCATATTACTTTACCAACTGTTTCCTTTCAATTATTTACGATAATTATGCTTCTTATCTCACGTTCTCGACAAATTCAAACAACACCTGGTATTTTTGTACGAACGTGAAAATCTACGATAAGAAATTCTTGGCAAAGCTTAAATTAAAATCGAATGTGAACCAGTTGGAATAGTATCTATGAAAATAATGTTGCAACATGTGTAATATAAAAAATGAGTATAATTTGGGAACAAGGTTATATCGTGGGCCATGAATTTATTTTTTTCTTATTTTAGCGTGTACTGAAACTACCCCTGAATTTTTGTCTAGATATTTTGAAACACTCTGTATGTATATATATATGTATGTAATGTATGTGCATTCGTGTGCATTCGTGTTAACGGCCGATCGGACCATATTTGTACCGATATCAGGGACAACGTGCGTCACCATATGTACATATGTAAGTAAGTAAAGTACGCTCATTCCTATGCACTTCTTTACACATACAAGAACACGACACTAAATGTTTTTTTTTTGGTCGAGATACGTACGATCCTTAATTTTTCTTTTTAGTCCAATCCAGAATTTTTATCAATATATTATATTCATTTGAAATGTTACAATTTAAAAAGGAATACAATGTGTATAATCGTGTATATTATTTTGTTCATATATTAATAATGAAATATAAATTATTCTATCACGTGTTTCTGTTAAATTGCAATTTTCGTGTTTATCTCTATATATATCAATTTATTTTATTTCTTATAGAGCACAAATATTTGTCGAAGTTGTAAAGAAGAGTATCGAATAACAATTTTTCGTGCATTTCGTGCAGAAAAATACAGGTAAGTGTATATATTCGTATGTATGTACACATAGAAGAAAAAGAAGTGTTGTGAAGTTAGTTTGAAATAATAATTCGCGTCACGAATTCAATGCTTACAAAAGGAGGGATTCGTTGAATCGTAAAGTATTTGAGAGAATTCGATGTAGACACATTTATCATCCATCTATTCTATCCTTATCTCGTTCTATCTCTTTCTATCATTTTATTCCTCTCGCTATTTCATTAACGTACTTTATATTTATCTCGTTAAAAAGCATTCTAAGTTCTTAGAAAACCTCGTGCGACGTCTTTAAACGTTCTCTCTCTCTCTCTTTTTCTTTTTCTTTTTTCTATTACAAGATTGCGCAAAACTTAACACACATTTGTCGTATTTAAAACGATGCTTCATTTTTCATTTATTAACACTGTAATAAGACAAAGTAAAATTCTGCAATAATTTTTAACAAACACTTTCACACTTTGCCAACACTTTCAATAAATATTTTCACTGAAACAATTTCGTTATATTCTGTGTTTTGTTTTTTTTTAAATAAAAATAAAAATCCCTCCACTCCCACACAGTTCCTTTAAACGATCGATCATCTCGTAGTACTTTCACTGATAATTATCAATGATCGTTGTTACAATCTTAAAAAACATGCAATAAGATCTTGAGGGGGATGGGGGCGGGGAACAAAATTAAGACAGGAAGTTATAATCTGTTAACAATAAATCAATCCACTTATTAGATTATTCTTAATTGAACGAAACAACAATAACAACAACAAAATAATGTAACAACGTTTAACAAAAGTTTGTAGATAATTCTCGATCAAAATCGTGAGACAACAAAAAAATTCTAAAAGAACAAAATTTTACCTCGTGTCCCATGTTCTCGAAGCATGATCAAACGAGACGCGTCCTTTCGAAAACTGTCGATTCTTTATTTTTTTTGAAACGAACAAACATTAAAAAATAAAAAAAAGTATAGAATAATAATATGCAATATATATATAGAAAAAAAAAAAAATAAAATGATTAGATATGAGATTATAATAGGCGAGTAAGAATTTCTTTAAAATATTAGTAGAGGTGGCATCTCTGAAGTCGTTGAAGAAGACTGTTGCCGGTGTGTCCAAGTCGACTGTCGTTGTTAAGGATACCTCGCAGAGGGACCAAACAAGAACAAGAAGAATAAGAATAAGAAGAAGAAGGAATGAGTGAGAAGGGGAGAAGAAAAGGAAGAGGAGAGGACTTGTTCTTACCGGCAAGAAGGCTCTCGTAAGACTGGACGACATTGCTTCTCGAGGCCAGCTTCCGTGGTTAGCACAACACCATCGGGGCCCGTTCCTTTCCGTTCAAATCACAGTAAGAGAAAGACAGAAAAATATAAAGAGAAAGAGAGGGTAAATATCGAATACTTGGGTGGACAGACAGACCCCCGAGTCTAAAAAATATTTTATTATATTTTAGTTTTCTTTTATACACTTTTTTTACTTTCTCTCTCGAATTTTTGTTTTTTTCTCTCTCTTTTTTTTTCTGTTTTCATTAATTATTATTAATACGCGAAATTTGATTGATTTATTTCGTCGTTGTTATCGTTGATAATATAATAAATCTTTATGTAAATTTTTGCACACACAAACAAGTATACACATACACACCGTGTAAGTTTCGCATTGCAACTGACGATGATAAAAAGAAATAGCAAAAAAATAAAAGGATGAAAGATAGTTTAGCAGGATGAAATCATCAATGATAATACCATCGACTCATTTCCAGATACTTTAACAATTTTTTATTTTTTCTGTATGTTTCTTTTTTTCCTTCATTCTTTTCTGTTCTCTCTTATCGGAATATCATCACGCTTGATACGTTAGTAAGTAAGTGAGTAAGTAAGTAAGTAAGTAAATAATCCTATTGTTATAATCGTTGGAAGTAACGAGTTCGACTATGCAATTTAGTATTTTATGTGTATTTTTTCGTTTCAAGGTAGATCTATTAATCGTTGAATAACGTGTTAACAATGTGAATTGTATGACTCAATTCATTACTAATATATATATAGATATGTATTGGTAATTATATTAGTGATCTAATATAAGTTTTAAAAATTATACAAAATTTATTTTTAAATCATTGATCACTCATCGTCTATAAATTACGTCTCACAAAATTATTCTGTACTTTATATTTTTGTAATCTAATCGTATTTTCTTTTGTTACGAATTTGCAAAGTTAAAAGTCTTGTAGATCGATTAAATAATTGTTATTATTATTATTATTTTTATCATATTCAAGAATAATTCGATCTTATATGAATCATTCGATTAAATTTTGATGTAATTTTTGATATTTCTTTATCAATTGATTGATTAATTTTTTATATTTCTCTATCAATTTGAATTTTCTCTGGGAATGAAACAGTAATATGAAACGAATTTTAAAATGAACGTTTTAAAAATATTTATTATATATACGAGACGTTCGTAAGACTCCCGTCGAGTCTCGCAAACGTTTTGCATAGCAAACGTGATTTTGATGTCTCGCATTCCGAGCATTCGCGTTCTAGCAAGATAAGAAAGTATATAAATGTATGTGTATAACTGTAGATTAACGCGAATTTTTTTTTCCTATATATATATATATATATATATATATACAACTTTGTATTTGTATATTAATAAAATATACTTCTTATCTTCCCATAAACTATAAAGAAAATTAAACACATTATAAATTCAATTCATAATTTTTATATAATTTCTTTTTTTCTTCACGTATTTTTGTCAATTATTATTATTATTATCATCAATAGAATTAGATTATAGGCAATTAAATAATTGACCTAATCGAATGAATGTTCTCACTTAAAAGAATGTTAAAACGATTAGTAGTTACTTTCAAACGAGATTAGATCTTTGATTAGGATTTTTTTCTACGCGATTAGGAAACAAGTAAATCTATATATATCATTTTTTAAAAGGTTTTCCAAGTGTATACAAGAGGAAATACGAGTAAATATATTACGTCACAAGTATTATATTTATGATTAAAGTATATACGAGAGAAAGAAAGAGAGAGAAAAATGAAAAGATAAAAAGATAAAAAGGTAGAGTAATGTGTTGGCAAGGTCGTAGGAATACCTTGTAACCACAGTTATCAGATAATAAGTTTATCTAAATCTTTTTTGGCAAATGATATCACGATATTTACAAACACGAACAATGATCAAAGTTTAAACCTGCGAATTATTTTAACTTGGAACTTCCCCGTTAGTACTTGGAAAAGATAATTGCAACGTGCCAGTTGAACGTTTAACTTATCTCGAGATTTATATCGCGATAGATAATAAGCTTTTAATTGTATCAGAGTTTTGATTAGATATTACATCTGTGATATTATTGTCTCTACCATCTGTTCAATAATTTTCTTTTTCTTTTCATCATAACAATCGTGTTCAATAATTTTGTTATATTCAATTTTCAGCATATATAATCGGAAGAGAAATAATATTCTGTTCGGTCACACGAAGAAGAAAGAAAGAAAGAAAGAAATAAAGAAAGGAACGTCATCGATGCCTCGAGGCACGTAAAACAACGGAGTCGTTTTGTACTCCTTTCCAAATGTTTCCGCATTCTACTACGATCCTTATATTATACAATAAATATATCCCCTTACTTTTTTTTCACCTGGTATATATACATCGTTTCGATCATTTTGTTTTTGTTTTTTTTAATCAATATTTTTTTACTTTTCGTTAATATATCGTAAATCAAAAAGAAGAAACAAAACAAAAATGAACATTTAACAAAAATGCAATCCGAATTATGCAATTTCATCAGAATAAATGTAAAATTATTTGGTTCAAGTTAAATATATTGAATTTACGATAAGAGAATAATATTTGTGGGATCTAGATCTAAATGAAAATTAGGATTGAACAGGATCGTATCTTCGTCGTTTGGTAAAGCAAACCATAGTTGTGTTGTTTGAGCAAGTTCGTGACACGTCGTGAGAGGATCTCTCAATGTGAAGTTCGCAACACGATCGAGGGCGAATTCTTGGTTACTTTCACCAACGAGCGAACGCGCGAAGGCCGGCGAGGATCGTAAATCGGTAAACTATTTGTGGCTTGACGCCATTGTTATGGGGACCCCGATCCTTTTACCACCCAACCAACCAACCAACCAACGATCATCTGACATTTAAATTGACTGACTTTGACGTACGACTGTCGTCTAAATTTTATTTAGATTAACGATTATTATCATTTCATATTATTTTTACTTCTTTATATATTTCGCAATAAATCATAATTTATTTTTTAATAAAGTATATATGTGTGTGCAAATTGTTTTGTCTTTCTAGCAAAATTCGTGTTATTCTTCTTCTTCTTCTTTTTTAATTTAAAGTTTTCATGCGAAAGTGTTTATAAAAGAAATATATATATTTTATTTATTTAATTTCATTTAATATTCACTTTTCATTTTGATCGAACGAAATTTATCTTGGAAAGTCTTGTTTGCTCTGCGGTATCTCTCTTTATTTCTCTTCAATAATTTAATAATAACACGCTCGAGGTTCCGGTTATAAACGAGTAATCATATATACATGTAGAGATATACTTACAAATATATAGTATATATATATATACACATACTTATAAATGAAAAGGTATACTATTATATACATGTGGATACGTAAACGTATAAATGAGAAGGTGTAACATACAGGGTGTTTCGTAATATGTGGGATCCATTTTAGAAATGAACAAGCAATGGGGGGAACGTAAAAACGTTTAAATATCGTTCAAGCTCGTTTTCTTAAATTGTTTTTTCTTTTATGTTTCTCAATTACGAGCAATAATCATTTGACAAAGTAAAGAAAACTCACCTTTGTTCGTTTTAGTATTCTCCGACTCACGGAAGTCTTCGATTCGGTTCAGACGACTCGTTTCATCTCGTTCTATAATCATTATAATAACGTTCTTTTTAATATTAACAAAAATATTTAACATTCTCACATCAACATCAACTAATAACATTCTTTGATTATCGCGTTAATCATTTAATACGATTTACCTCAAATTTAATAGCAGCTTTTAACATTTATTCAAAAACAAATTTGTATTAATAAGTCAATTATAGAAAAAATTTAATAATACTGTGTTATTTGAATAAACATTTCAAGAACACGCAACTCTCGGTTGCGCGTTGAGTACTATTAATAAAAATGATCAATTAAAAAAAAAGAACAAATAGTTCTTCAAGTGTCCATCCTCGAAATTGATGTTTGACGTTTCAATGAAGAAAAATGAATCTATCAGGTTCTGTATGGTAAATTAGATTGTCGAAGAACAATGCAAAAGAAAAAAAAAGAAAAATAAGGAAGTAAAATATAGTAAATAGAAATAACGAGTTTTTAAAGTGAGCTATAACGAATCGAGGAAACCATTTTGATCTTATGTTAGTAGACACAGCTGCACTGTTGACTCCAGTTGACCTGTCTTTATTAAACATTCAATGTAACCATGCATATACTATACTTCTTCATTCCCTCTATCCTAACTTCCAATCTAATATTTCTAAGCATCTTTTCTATTACATTTTTCTTTCTTTCTCTTTTTCTTCAAAAAAAGATTCAAGTTTGATTTAAAGGAAATATTTAAAAGCAAGTAAACATCGTAGCAGACGTTGGTAAAGATTCAATATTATTCGAACCAATTTTAGAATGGATTATTATAACGATCAAAGGCATTAGGGAAACATTAGGGTGAATTCCTTTTCGAAATCTAAATATATCAGAATTCATTTGTTTTTACCGTAGGACTTGAAACCCCCTTAGAAGGATAAAAGAAAGCCGACGTTTGTAAGAGATGTTTGTAAGACTAAAAATACTTCAAACACATTTACGCATACATGCGTATACATCACAGACAACCCCCTGCATTTGGAGTCACATTTTTCTTTCCCCAATTTTTTGTTTGAATGTTGAAAGATTTCTATAGCATGGTAAAATAAAATAAAATAAAATAAAATAAAAAGAAGAAGGAAGAGGAAAGATACAAATATTTTATCTATTTTTACAATGATATTATTTTTAAAATGGTAGGTGAGTGAGGGAGGGAATTGTTGCATACTAATTCGATAAACACATTAAGAATTTTCGTTTGTTCTTGTTTGTTTCGAATAATAAATAATAAGTAATAGAAATGCAGTTGATATTTCGATGGATTAAAGGGTTAGTAGTGGTATGATAACTGTATTAGATTAATTTACAATGAGGTAGATGAATTTGAGCTAAGAGACATGGACAAGGTAATCGAGTTTTGTACTTGCAATGTAATCTTTACTTCTTGAAAGTCTACCTCTCTCTCTCTCTTTCATTTCTTCGCAATGGAATCAATCCGAAAGGGTTGCTGTTAACACGTGGATGGCCCTGTTCTCATTTTATCCTGACACGATTCAAATTGAAATATCAAGGATACATTATATTTCCTTTTTAATTATAAGTAAAGAAAAAAAAGAAGAAGAAAAAGAGACAGAAAGAGAGAGAGAGAAAAAAACATTCCATTACTTCCTCGTAATATTTTTTCTCTCGTTATACATTTAATTAGAGGAATAAAAAAATCAAATGATTGTCGATCGAAATGGTCGCTAAATTTTGTCGATTAAATTGGAAATTAATGCAAATCAATGTATAACGAGTATTATAATTCAGATCCATTAGGGGTTTTGGCCAATATTTTATTTCGATTTTTATATTGTTAATTTATTGTTCCGATTTATTATACAGTTAAATAATAATATGTTTGCGGTGGGAACGAGTGTCGGAACTTTTTTGGATGTTGAAAAAATATATTTAAGAAAAAGAAAAAATGAAAAATAAGAAGAGAACGAAAGAAGGAAAGGTAGGTGCGGGAAGGGGGAAGGTACAGGGGGGTTCAAGGAGTAAGAAGAAGTTAAGATGGTCCAGCTTGGGCAGCAACATCACCGACGCAGCATCACCGGCCGGAGGTGATGACCTGTTCAAGGCCACCCGCTCTCATGAGAGTTCTCTCTTAGCGAGTAAAAAGAAAAGAGAGAGAGAGAGAAGGAAGAGAATAAGAGAATGGATCTTTTTATTTTTTATTACTCTCTTTATCTTTATCCTTTTCCTTATTGCACAGTCTTATATTATCTTCCTTCCTATTCACTTTCTTTTTGTCATTTATTATTACTTTTTTTGTCTATTTTTTGTGTGTATTTCTCTTTATAATTATTTGAGAGATCCTTTGTTATATTATTATTATTTTAATTGATTAATATTATATCATATTATTATTGTCACCAATATTATTTTACATCATCGTTGTAGGCTTTGTAAAATTATTTAGGTATTATTCATTTTTGTTATAAATATTGTTGTAATTATATTCAAAAACATTTCTATTATCGTTATATTAATATTATATTAATTATCGTGATTATTATCATTATTAATTGGAAGTATCATCATAGCTTACGCACACATACACAGAGAGAGAGAGAGAGAGAGAGATAGAGAGATAACATAATTCATTCGCATGTGAATCATGCAACAAAATTGCGCGTAAACCTGTTATTTTAAAAAATCGAACATCTATATATACTTGTTTGCAACACTCTTCTTACACACACACAGAAACATTTTACTCGAGCGAATATATAATATATATATATATATATTTGTCTCTTTCTTTCGTGTTAGAGATTATTTTAGTTCGTTGCTCTTATAGAAATCAGGCAAATTGAGTTTGACAAAGTGGATCAGCCACGTGTGAAAGAAGAAGAAGAAGAAGAAAAAGAAAAAGCTGCCCTTTTTCGAGAGCATAATGATCGGCACGTGGCGTCAATGTGGCGTCAGTATTTTTATTTTATTTCTTTTCTTTTCTTTTATTTTCTTCCAAGAGACTCTCCATCTCAAAATAATATAAGAAAGAGAGAAACTGAAAGGAAAAAGGGAGAGTGAGAGTGTGCGCGAGAGTGAGAGAGAACGATGGTAAAAGACCTATTTCGGTAAGGTCGAACTCAAGTGTGCAACGAGTAGTATGCAACTCGCGAGAAGTTAAGTGAATGAGAAAGATAAACATAATAATTATATTAAATTACTGGCCTGCCGTTGAAAACGTTCTGACGACGACGCGAAAAAAGAGAAAGAAGAAGAGAAAGAGAGGGAGAGAGACATCACTGAGATGTACCAAATCGAACGAGTTTTTCAAATTACCACGTCCAGTTATGTTACTTTCAATTTCATATTTCTATAGTTACGAGAGTTTTAACTCTTCTAACGTGTATAATAATAATCCTAACCGTTTATCCAATTTTACTTTTTTCGTCAAATCATTTTACTATTTCTATAATATATTACACATATCGTTATTTATTTATTAATTTCAAATAAAAAAACAAAAATTAAAAATTATATTTTAAATTTGTGTGTGTCAATATGTTATTTGTATCATTATATTATTTTTCATTCCATTTTCTTGAAATGCATAACAATTTTTATCTCTACGCTCGGTTTTTTATCGATTTATTTTTTTAAATTATTAATATTATTTTTTGCTTGATTAATCGTGCGATAATGATTGAAAAGAAAATATTTGTATGATAATAAACCGTACGTTCTCATCCACCATTACATAAATATTTATATTTACTATGAAACGTATATCTGTGAAAGAAAGAGACTCACTGAGCTCATAACTTGGCGCCAGTTTAGATAAACCGATCGCGGAAGATTTGAATGCTAGTCTATGCGTGTGGTAAGAGACAAAAAGGAAGGGATGAGAGAAAGAAAGAAGAAAAGAAAAAAAAAAAGAAAAATTACAAAAAGAAGAAGACAGAAGATAAAATAAGGAGAGCATGCAAGTAAAGAGAAGATTGGTTACGATGAATGAATTAATTGTACTTTCCGTGTTGTATAGTACCCATTAATTACAACATTATTTATGCACTTTTATATTTTCATTCTTATATATTTATCTATCTCTTTTTTTTCTTTTCTTTTCTTTTCTTTTCTTTTTTTCTTTTTCTTTCTATAGGCGAGACGTTGTTAACATGGTCTGTCGCGCGAAAACGAATCGCGATATCTTACGAGGCCGTTCCTATTATTCCTCGAGTGTAAATCCTGGAGAAAGTAGTTAGCGTTTTCATTTTAGTGGATGAAAACATTTCAAGACAACTACAAAATATTCTGTCTACTCTTTTCCTCGTTGCTTACTTTTGTTTTGTTTTTTGGGGTGATTATCGATATTAAACATTTTAATAAAATTTATACAATTGTGCAATGTAATAACTTGCGAATAATTTGATTATTGAAATAATCAATTCGTTTAATATACATATTAATAATATTGCAATGATAATTAGTGTCTAGTAGAAATTATGATAATCGAAAAGTTTCGATAAAATAATATCGCGATTAAAAAATAAATTCATGAAAAATGTTTGATTGGAATGTAAAAAATATTACTCGAGTATAATACTCGTGCAATAATATATTGTTTCATAGTTTTATTTTCATGGGTCATTAAAGTAAGAAGGATCAAGAATAAGCAAAGGGTCGTCTCGATTTCAAGTAAAGAAACCAACCAACCAACCAACCAACAAACAAACAAACGAATAAAATAAGAAACAAATAGAAAGGAAAAAGAGGAAGGAAGGAAGGAAGGAAGGAAGGAAGAGGAAGAAAAAGTTGGCTGAGGGATCGGCAAATACTAAAAGGCAGGTGTAAGGCATCCATGATGCCCAGCTGCCTGCCTGTCTACTACTATACTATACTATAATATACTATACCCTTCGAGAAACCCTTCGTCCTTCTATCCCCACCGACTTAACAAAAGAAGGAAAGAAAAAAAATATTGCGAACGAACGAGCAACAGCTGCCGTCTCGATTCTACCGTGGGTGGTATGTGTATAATGATCCAATGCATTTCTCAAGGT